CTCCCCTTTCAGGTAGTTGTAGAGGAATAAGGTCTCCCCTGAGCCTCCTTTTCTGCAGGCTAAACTATCCCAGTTCCTTCAGCCACTCATCATAAGACTTCTGCTCTAAACACTTCATATCCCATTATATACAGAATTAAACAGTTGACAATGATCGTGATCAACCTTATGTCAGTTATAATCAGTTTTCAAGAAAACAGGTTAATACAGACCTTTACAGTACACAGGCTCTCTTTCCCCTTTCTGAATGGTTGCCAATAATCACTTTACTCCATTGTCTATGTTTAATTTGATTCTTAAATTAAACAATGGCATAGGCAATGTGCTTGTCATAGCACTCAAGTTATTCAGAGACTATTGGTTCACACCCCAAATTAACTAGAAAATCATTTGCATCTTGTTTTACTTTTCAGCAAATTGGAACTTCTCGCCCCAAGCCCATTATTTGTGTATGAGTAAACCAGAAAATGTCTTAATATATGGAAATCATGTAACAAAGCAAAAGAAAAAAAAGCAACTCTTCATCCTGATTCTCCCAAAGTTTTGCTCCTTGCCAGTATTTATACAGATTAAAGGCATCAATCTGCTTTGCTCCTCTACTAAATCAACTAAGCCTGAAATCCCCGTGGATTGGGTATTTTGTCCAACTGTCTTGAGAAGAGTCAGACCCATAAAGTTTATTAAATGATTCAGGAAATGAAATGCAATAAATAACTTCTCTAACTACTGTTATGGAAATATTCTTTATATTAAGGCTGAATTCAGAAATGCAGCTGACAAAAAAAATGGATTCTATATCCCTTTTATGCAACATATAATTCACTTTGTAGAAGCTTTTCTGTCTCACTAAAAATCAGTTTTAAAGGAGAATATTAAGGTGTCACCTTTAACAGAAATACCAGTTCGGTACTTTTTGTGGTAGTGCCACAGATCCCGTTCTGATTTTATTTATATGTACACATTTTGCTGCATGAAAGCAATTTTTCTAGAGGCACGTGGAGCTTCTTGAAATATATTTGAACCCCAACTTTAAAACTTAGTTTTAAACTAAATGACTCTACATTGTATAACATTGATTATCCAAAAAACAGGGATGCAAGAGCCTAGATGTCCTTTCTATTGACAGAAATGCTTGTTTATATACTAGAAATGTTTTTTTAATGAGGAACTGTTGCCTTGGAAACCACTACAACAAATGAAAATTTGAGCTCTGTGGAAAAAAACCCACCAAAAGTTATCCAAAATTTACCTTCTTTTCTTGATCTACCTGAGACACAAGTATTGGCAGTCAGATGTATGTTGCTTTAAGTTTCACAATTCTTGGTAGCAAAATAATTCTCTTATTTCCTACCTAATTCTCTTATCAAAAACATGTTCACACCTTTTGTCTCAACAGACCAGTGGACAAAAAAAAAACAAAAACAAACAAACATTTTACAAAAGTCAAATTCTGATATTTCAGTCTTTTCATGTACCGTTTTAAAGCATTCAACAGCTCTCCAATCAGCAGGGTCACAGTCTGAATTTCTTGGCAAACAAACTGTGTTATTTTAGGGCATTTGGGAGGTTTTCCATCAAGTTGAATACAGTCTCCTAACTAAACTAGTGCTTCAACGCGAGAACGGAATGTAAGAATTTCCTAGACTGTTTTCATTCCAGATTTTCACTGTCAGTTATTGCTTTTCCTAGGCTTAAATTCCTGATCTTTACCCTGCATGTGGGAGGATGTGCCAATAGAAATAATGTAAGATCTATCAGAAACTAGCAAGTAAAGAAGGAGATATGTATATTGAATTATAACAGGAAGACAAAGCATAAGATGTTATCAGTTGACTCAAGGCTGTGCCTGCTCAGATGTGGTAAATTCACAAGATACGAGGGCCTTTGGCTTATTTTTGGGAGAATGCAACCTGTTTCACCAAGTTTTTGCATCAGTTCACATTTTTATGTCTGGAAATACAGTTGCACAACATTGACCACAGCATTACAAGTATAAAGATCTATTTTTTGGCTTCTACTTGGGTTAGCCTGTCTTGTAGCTCTTGCTTCCAAAGAAAACATTCAATTGTACCACTCTATTTCTGATATCAGGCCCAAGACAAAAAGGGGAATAAAGAATAATCAGTTTCCTCTGAGCAGTGACAGACAGTGGTGTCCTGGGAGATATGAACCTAAAAATGCTACTATTCAATGTGCAGACCCACTCTTATGGATTTCTTGTAGCTATGGGTACTGCGCTGTTATCAGTAAAAATCCCTGTGGAAAGGAAACACGAATTATAAAAGCTCAGAACCTTTGTAAGCACTGAAGGTTTAACCTTCGTATGGAAAAAGCACACTGTGGAACAAAAGAGATGCTATAAAACCTTCTAGCAATACATGTGGCCTGCTGTTGGGAAGAAATTCACATCACTGACGTAATGGTGATCAGGGCAAGCTGCAAGAGGAGATGAAATCTGATGCAAGGTTCTATTCTCTTCTGTTACCATGAAAGACTGCTTAAGGGGTGAAAGTCTTCACTGAGACTTCCACGGAGACTGTGACAAACATTTCCTTCTTCCTCCCACCTCCCCATTTTAGTCATAATTGTGCTGTGTTCCTTTAAGAAGTGACTCCCTGCAGAGCTTCCTACAGAGAGTATCTACTGGACTTGCTCAAGGGGAGGAAGACCCAAAGGATGGAACATATGGCAGGCAAGAGCATCTCACAGAAAACTTACCTGACTATCAGCAGATTGCCCAGAGTAAAAGCAACATGAAACTGGGACTGTAGCCATCAGTCTACCCTCAGGGATGAGGAAAGGACATTTCCCAAGGACCAGAGGTGACGAAAGAGAATTGGGCAGACTCAACCACAGTGATTTAAAACAGCCTGGATGTGACGATATACTTGCAAGGGCAGAGGGAGCTATTCTATTATGCCCAATTCTGCTGCTTTGAATTCTTCTTATTTCCAAAGTTTCAAGTTGATTTTATAATGATGCGTTGCATTTTCCTACCTGAGTTTCAAAGCTTTTTGATCTTCATGGTGGAAGCAGATTCATCTTAAATACTTGGCTGATACAAGGTCCTGCCACTGGCCATCAGCCTCTATAATGCCCCTCCTTATCTGCAGTATCCCTATTGACATACTAAAAATACCTGCTCAGCATGATTTTCTAGTACAGCATGTGGCTGAAACCTTGGAGGACAGAATCAGTGGCTCTGAGGTATACCATGTACAACAGCTGGCTCAGTCTCCTGTTAACTAGCTAGGTGAACAGATAGGAAAAGAGTGAAAGCATTTCATGAAAGCTGTCCTATGTTTCAAGAAAGTCCTTCAACATAGATAAACTGCCATGAAATACTCCTTCTTTAACAACATAGCTAGAACTGCTTTTAATCAGGAAATGCTACGATGAAAGAGACAGGCACAAACTACTCTGAAAAACTACTTGTTCAGTATTGGTATCCAGAAAAAACTTACAGGACAAATAATAGCTGAAAGCCTCACATTATCATTTGGTATTTTTCCTGAACCGAACTGGGAGAGATTGCTTGGCAATTTCCAGTGCCTTCCACCAGCTGAGCTGATTAGCCCATGATCAGTGCTGAGAAATGTAATGTGCCTCTCACTGGGGGCATTTGCTGCCAGCTGAGCACACTCACATGGACAATTAGCAAGGCTCAGCCAACATGCTGTAACTTGTTAAGATGCAGTAATGTTTATTTTTCCTTTCAAGCCTCATACTAAGAAGCAGTGTGAAGCAAAAGAGGTTTATGAGAACTAAGGGAAGGAAATCTCCCTAATAAAGGAGAAAACTATGATTCCCACACACTCCCCCAGCTTGCATATCAATACTGATAGAAAACCTTGCAAAGTGACTTGTTTTGCTCCAGTCAACTTCACGCTTCTGTGCAGACCATATTCTAAGAAGTGAATTTACCAGAACACCCCTATTTTAGGCTAAAAAAGGGGGGAACTGTAATTATATTGGCTATATTACATATATACACCAGAGTACTCACTACAACACAGTTCAATTAGATGAGTTCCTTGTTTTAGCCATACATCGCTTTTTAAAGTCAAATAGAAAAAAGGTTGAAATAAATTATTTCCTGCTAATGTATTATCTCCATTAGAATTCTGGCACTGTGCCCTATCATGGGAACATACAAATTCTGTGCACTCTGGCTCCAAAATAATTCTAGTTTCAGTGATAGATATGAAAGTTAGTTGAAATCAGCTCATAAATAGTAAAGATTCTTAATGCTGTGGCTATAACCATAACAGGAATGTAACTGAACATCTCAGAATGGTGAAAAAATGCTGTACCTGAACTTACAATTGTCTTAGCACTGCCACACTCCTTCCACTACTTTCTTCATCATTCAGGTTGCAATTGAATTTCTTCTAAATCAAATCTGAAGAAGCTTCTCCAGGTTCAAGAACTTTTCACTTCAGTGAACAGCCCCCCCGAAAACCAAACCCATCCAAAAAACATTTTCCAGTATGACAATTTACTTACATCACATAAGGAATTTAAGTATTAATGAAACAAAGGTTGAGAACAAGGTCATACATTTCCTGTTAGAATGGAAGGGTAAGTGAAGTAAAATCAAAGTTTGAATTAACGAATACAAGGCTGGACACCACCAACAGTGGAATTGGTGAGATTCTCTCCTCCCTCACCTCCCTCTTTTAAAAACATACCTTTGTAAATGAACACAAGTTAGCAGAAGGGGAAATGTGTGGAAAAACACCCCAAAAACCAAAAAAATCAAACCCCAAAGAATGGAAGAGGTCTCCCACTTATGCTTGCACATTTGCTTAAAGAAAATATTTGGCAAAAGGTTTATTACACATCCCTTACACAGACAAAAACGGAAATAACTTCTCTTAAATACACTGGCAGTTGGAACAAGACAACTCAAACTACTGTCAACAGCATAGACAAATCTGAAACCAGAATAAAAGAGGCACAAGGCAATCAACTGTTCAAATTAGATAAGACAAACTTACGCTTGTTGTGTAAGCAGCCTCAGGATCATCCTCTAACACTCGTGACAAACCAAAATCGGAGACTTTACACATGAGGTTACTGTTGACCAAGATATTACGGGCTGCCAGATCACGGTGTACATAGCCCATGTCTGAGAGGTACTTCATGCCAGATGCAATCCCCCGCAGCATGCCAACCAGCTGGATGACTGTGAAGTGGCCATCATGCTTCTGCAAATAAAGATGCAAGTTCAAAGAACACAGCTACCTTTCATTAATTTCATAATGGCGCTATTAACTAGAGCACATGTTTAAGATACATTTGTAATCCATCCAGCCAAACCACCTGCTGCAAGCTTGTTTTTGCAAGCAGTTAACATCTCAGAGGTTCTCTCCCTCTTCATCTGAATTTTCACACACTCCACAGTCTTTGCCCTAGCAGCACTGAATGTCTTTTATCCACACTAGATCACTTTCTCTCAAAACTATTCTTTCAGTCAAAAAATCACAATGCACACAAACCCTCTCTTCATCTCTTACTCCATGGCCTCAGGAAAAAAACACCCTCTTTTTATTGCTTCGGCCTTGATTGCCTGCATGAGGTACTCCTGCTATCTCACTTTTTGATTTTGGGGGGGAGTTACTTAAAAACAAACAAACCCAACCAAACCAACCCCCCAGGCACGAAACCTAAGGCAATCCTGGAAAACGCTTGAGGCTTTACCTTGTAATGCACCTAATGCCATAGAACCTCTGAGCAGTAAGTTAAAAATAAGATTTGGGCTTAAGTTCAGGGGTTATTTGGCTTTTCTGAAGTCTTTTGGGCTAAGCTCATACCCATGAATACATTAAGCTGCTTAACTCCTACTCAAGTCTATTGGAGTTGAACATGTAAATAAGAGTCATGTTGTTAACCACACTTGTTATCTGGTCAGTCCTAGTGGGCCTCAGTTTCCTCTCTGCAACATTAATGTTAATTCTTCTGTACCCCCTACATCAGAACACGCCTAAATTATGTAGCAGTGGGGACTAAGTGAGTAACTATACAGAAATCCAGTTATGTGCTCTTTGCCTTGTTTAGGTCTGACCTACCTACCATTTACAGCAGACTGCTTACAGCAGTATTTTCATGACCTTCGTTGGCAGACATTTAGCTTCTCATGGATTATTCAGGGAGCCAGGCTTTTATGTTAGCAGGAACAGTGAAACGAAAGCAAACAACTCTTCCTTGCAAGTTAACTTTCATTTTCTCTTTCAACACCTTCAGCACTGAGCTACAGACAAGTAGCAATGTTCCGATCAGCATTCAGGACATTGCTATTGCTTGGCCCATATATTAAAGCAAAACGATTTTGATTGAGGAGAGACATTTACAGTAAATGCAGTAAATTCATTAGGTTCAGCAAAGCAACAGGTTGCACTGTATGGATATGCTTAACCTGATAACCACAGTGTTTCCGCTTCAATGGTCTGGGGCTTATATTTAGCTAGTCAGGACATAAATATTTAAAGAAATAGGGAATTAGTACTCAGATGTAATTAAGACTACAAACAAACCCCACAAACAAACCAAACAAAACCCAAGACATGGAGAAATTTGATGTTACTTGCTCCTCACATTATCAGTCTTCTGAGATGAAGCAATACCAGACCAAGACCTGCCTCAAATATATGTATTATGTCATTACTTAAATCAAGAAATTATACATTCTTAAAGGATGAATCATTTAATGTGCATAACAGGCTGCTAAACTGAGAAAGTTGTTTGCTTATGAAGCAGTTGGAGGAACTAGTTCCTGAAGTCACCATTACTCAAATTCTAGTGGGTGCAAACAGAAGGACAGACAAACAGAGCAAACAGAAAAGGCAGAAACAATGCAGATTCTGCAGTTCGTAGAACTTGCAGAGTGTCTTGAAACTCTTCCAGTTCCTTTCATAAAATCAACTGGAAGAAAAACCCATGTGCAGCAGCATATGAAAACCTACATTATGGGCAACACTCAGCACTTACTGACTAGTGTAACTAGTTACGCTATCTACCAGGTTATAACACAACAAGCCTAAACGGTAACAGAAGATATGCATGGTTGCTACACAGTTTGACTTCCAAGCTGATGTTCTAACACATCAGAACGCAAAAATTAAGATACTAATACACCTTGCCAGGTAGAACACCTCACACCCTCATCACACCTCCCAAAAGCACTTGTATTTAAGGAGCCATGCTTTGATCAGAGTTCAGATGCCACAGCCATCTCACAGACCATTCTATATCACACTTCATGATGCTTCTTTGAAACCAGCTATTTATGACTGATTCATAGCAATTTTTTTCCCTTCAATAGTCTCGCTGTTTCTCTCTCAGCAGTACTCTAGAGCCTTTTTGTCTCTAAATTCCCCATGCAAAAGCAGGGGCAGATTTCCCCAAGTAACCATGTAACACTTATAAGCAACCCTCTTCCTTTACTGTCTCCATCAAAGCAACCTGTACGCTGTTACTTCTGCAAATGACACTCACCTGACGGTCAAGACACAAGTGTGATAACCAGACATTTTACAACAGGCCATCCCCTATTACAGGCTCATTACATTCCCTATCACAGCCCCTATCACAAAAATGAGGGAAGCCTCTCAGAATCCAAAACATGCCACTGACAGATATTTCCAATAAAAAACTTTCCAGCCAGCAATTAAGTAAAAATAGAGACAATATTCTTAATAAATACTGTATTTATTGTAATAAATATTCTTAATACAATTTCAGTAAAGGAAGGACATTACTCAGAATTTTACGTAATGAAATAACATGGGATTTGGATTTTGCTTTTTATTTAATAATTCTAAGTGTTCAATTGACTCAAAATTTATTAAGCTGGTTGCAAACCGTTAATGCTCTTCACACTTACCTGTACAGACATCTTTTTAGCTACTTGTAAAATTAGAATCATAGAATAGTTAGGGTTGGAAAGGACCTTAAGATCATCCCGTTTCAGCCCCCCTGCCATGGGCAGGGACACCCCTCACTAAACCATGGCACCCAAGGCTCTGTCCAACCTGGCCTTGAACACTGCCAGGGATGGAGCATTCACAGATCCTTGGGCAGCCCATTCCAGTGCCTCACCACCCTTACAGTAAAGAACTTCCTCCTTATACCCAATCTGAACTTCTCCTGTTTAAGTTTTAACCCATTACCCCTTTTCCTGTCACTACAGTCCCTAATGAAGAGTCCCTCCCCAGCATCCTTTTAGGCCCCCTATTAGGGTTTGGAATGAAGGGCTGTCCCCCCAGCGAAGCATAAAACAAAACCAACCCCCCAGACCTCTAGATTTTACCTCCTCCTTATCATCATTAACAGATCCATTCTTCCAGCAAACCTCGGAGTCATCTGCAACACCTCCCTTAATCTTTTGTCTCATTGGATCACACGCATTCATTCCTTCCTTTTTTAATTTGTCCTCTCTCAAACCTAGATCACGCTTGACTGACTTTTCATAAAATGTATCCTTTTTCTGCACTTTCCAAGTCTTGGTATTTGCCTTATTGGTACAGCAGAAACGCCTGAGTTAAAAACAATCTCATGCTTTTGCCATTTTCTTCCTCCTTCTTTCAAATTTCTTTGGGCTTCTGCCTTGACATAAAAAGTTCAAGTTTCTTATCTCCACCTCTGAAGAAGAACTGACAGACTTGCTAACATACCAGTTGCAGTTTTGTTGTGTCCTCCTTTTCCTCTATTTCTCTGAATCCTCTTCTACATCTGTTTTACTCTGTCCCTTCTTATGCTTGGTTTTATACCGTTTCATTGCCAGCCTTGCAGTTGGAACAGGTACATTTTACCTGCCAGCAAGAGTCTTCTCTCTCTTAAGTTTCTCTCTAATCACATCTGCATCAGTTTCCATGGCAGTTGTATTCCCTTGCAATCCACAGTCTGTTATCTTCCAAGGTATCAAAATATTTTCTGATTTAAACTGATGGTTAGTGAATACGGGCCATACTTAACCCTTGGAAAATCAACTAAGTTGATGAAATTATACCAGATATGAATCTGTCCTTGTATTTGTAGCATTTGTAAATCCCTATGTCCATCTGTGAGTCAAACCAATCCTTTGGCAACTTTTCATTATCTTGTTTCATATGCTTGTCAGAAAGGGATATAAACCACTCATCTGAATGATGTGGCGGTTGTTGTCCAGACCTTTATTCTGATTCCCATAGCTTAGATGTGAAATACGCTTTTGATAGGATTCCCACTGGGTGTTAAGGGTGTTAATCAATCCTGGCAGCAACTCAGACCTCAGTGGACTTACCACGTTTGTCTTATCATCCCATCAAATTTTAATCAGGCTTTAATGGCTTAGCTAAATAAACTTTGCTCAACAGCTGAGTACAGATGCAATATCTGAGTAGTTGCCATTGCATTTATGCAGCCCTCAAGCACCCTGAAAAAATGCTGGTTTTTAATTCAGCTACAGTTTGCTTTTGAAAACTTATGTACATTAAATATCCTCCTCCTATTACAGACCCTTCAATAGCCCTGATGTATAATGGGGTAGTGAAGAGGGTCAGTTACTGTAGGGGAGGAAGGATGACACCCTAAGTTTCTCTCATTGCTTTTCACCCTCTCCTTTCCAGCTCCAGCATACAATAATTCAGTGATTTAAGGGTTTTTTACTGTTTTACTACTGAGCAGCCTTTTTGAGGTGTGGTTGTTGAATTTTTCTGTATTGAACTTTACTGGGTTAAATCTACCAAAATTCACATTGCAAGTGTAACTCGTGCTTCAGACTATCATGTGGATTACACTCAGGTTTATATTGCTAGTACTGAATAAGGGCAACTGTCAATTTCTCCTTTAATCAACTGTTAGGAGAGTTCTGTACAATTAGTAACACTTAATTTAATGAAATATAATACATAAAATCCTGAAATTATCTTAGTTTATGCTACTTATGCTTAGTTTATACTTAATAATGCTACTGAAAGAGCTTACACAAGAATCTAAGCTCCTCGTCAACCATTAAAAATACAGGCAATCTTTTCCTTATTAAAAAAACCCCAAAACCATGTTGCAAGATGAATCCATGCCAAAGCTTATCTTAGGTTACTACAGCCACCTTCAAACCTAGACAGAACAGCAACAGTAGCCTTGCAATCTGTGACCCTGTTTTCCTTACTCAGCTACAGTACCAAGAAAGGGATATCCTGGAATAACCAGGTGTCCCTGCCCACTTTGG